GGAGGGGGGGGGTTCAAACCCACCCCCCATTGAGAGAGAGCTGGGGGTGCAGGGGGCCCCCCGTTCGGCCCCGACTGCGGGGCCAGCCCTTCTCGGGCGGGGGGTGGGCGCTGGGCCCTTCTGTCGGGGGGCCTATAGGTGCCGCCCCCCCCCCTCCGGAGCCTGTACAGGCCCTCGACGCTGCCCCTGCGCAGGAAAAGGCCTCGCCGCCCTCGGAGGTCTTCGAGTCGGGGAGCGGCGACAGGAGGGATTTGCCCAGCCATACGTAGGGGGTTTGTCGAATGGATTCGAAGGGATTTACCCAGCCATACGTAAGGGGTTTGTCGACAGAGGCCAGCATGGATTTCCTCGTCGAGCCATACGTAGGGGGTTTGTCGATCTACGAACGCCTTACGCATCAGCCATGGACTCGACCAACAAATCGATTCAGGGGGTCTGAATACATGCTGAAGTCGATCCCACCCTCGAGAGTTCGTGCCCGACCCTCCCGAAGCGTGGCGCCGAGAGGACGGTATCGCCTCGAGGGCCCCCGGAGGCACCCACGAAGCCACAGAACCCGGGCCCGTCGGGACCCGTTCGCAACAGGGGGTACGTCGACCATCCTGCTGCTGCTGCTGCTGCTGCTGCTGCTGCTGGCTGCTGAGGCTGCTGATGCTGCTGCCTGCTGCTGCTGGCTGCTGGCTGCTGCTTCTCCTGCTGCGCTCCTTCCCCCCTTCCATCCCAGCTCTCTGCCTGCCCCTTGCCTCCGCCGCCGTGGCTGCGCCCGCGGCCGCGGCCGCGGCCGCGGCCGCGGCTGCCGCTCTGGCCGCCCCTTCACCCGCTGGCCCACGGGAGGGCATGACAGGAGACATGTGGACCCCCTATCCCAGACTTCGTGGGGCTTTCGACTGGACCAGAGCTGTGGGGCCCAACCCTGGGATATACCAACGGGGGCGACCATCCTTGGTAGGCGGGTGCGTCCGGATAGCTCTCGAAGGGGGTGTATCCCAGAGTTTCCCCCCTTTGTCTGAGTGGCTTCACTCTTCTTCGAAAAATCAAAACTTGTGGGGGGAAGTAGCCTGCGGGTTGGCTTCACAGCGACTCCGTGCTCCCCTGACTCGCGCAGGAGCCCTCGAAGCGTGTCTCCGATCCTCCCGCGCTCCTGGACCCTGCAAGAAGTCCTCAATCTTCCCGTCCTCGAACCTCCTCTTGGCGGCGCGCATCAGGGGGTAGGTGGAGGGGGGAAGCCTTCCTAGAGGGAGGCTGCTTCTTAGAAGGCGCGGGCCTTACATCTACACAAAGGCCCGCGCCTTCTTAAGGAACAACCTCCTTCTAAGAAGCCTCTCCCCCCTCCCCCATACACCCCTCAGCGCGTGGCCGACACTTGGCGGTCCCGAAACGGCGTGGTGACAGACCGCGCGGTGACCTCGAAGTCCCGAAGTGCCTCACCGCACGGCCCGCCACCTCACGGCCTCGCGGAGCCCGGAGGCCCTGGTCACCCGATGCATCCTCAGAGAACGGCCCAGGTCTCAAAACCCTGCGGTCAGCCCCACACTGGCCTTTCTCTGAACGTTTGGCTCCCAGGCCGTAACTCGGGCCGATGGCGGCGGTTCGGAAGGATCTGGGCACCCCAGGAACATACTCTCGGCGAGGCGCAGCTGCTGGGACGCATCCCGAGGCAGGAACACCCTCAGGCACCGACGAAAACGTTCGAAAACCCCACTTGACTCACCACACGATGTGGACATCCCGAATCCCCGCTGACTCACCACACGGCGCGGTCACCGCACCGTTTGTAGACAAAGGCGCTCCAGTGGAGCGCGTTTTTCTACAAACGGTCTCCACTGTGAGTAGTGAAGCGCCGCTCCACTACCCACAGTGTAACTACTCGCAAATGGCCTGGATCCGCCATGGGGGACTTACGACCCATTACATCGATGCAGACCTGTTTGTTGGGACGTTTGCGAGTACGTAGGCACTTTGCTCGGAGTGGAACGCGCTCGGTGAGTTTTAGGGGGCCCCGAGTCACACGGGGTGCGGGACGGGCCCACGCCCCACCCCACGCCGCGGCGCGCGGGCCTAGGCCGCACGGGCGGGCGCCCTCGGCGAGGGCGAGCCAGGCAGCGCCAGCAGTGGAGGGGAAGAAAACGGCGACCATGACCGGATGTGATCTTCCAATACGCTCGGCTGAACGAGCCAGTGGCATGGGACGCACAAGGACATTCTAGTACTAGATGTTCTCCTCGGAGACTTCCGTCCGACCCGAACATCTAGAACCTTCAATACCCATAATGTAATAGATCGTTTCCCGAGCGTTGTGGCCAGAAAGCGCCCGCCACGACGCATATACTGTAAGATTTCTCGGTGCGTGCGTCGCCCCTGGGGGGGCGACGCACAAACAGTATTGGTATGTTGGGGTGCCGCCGGAGCAGCGCTCCCGTATGTTCAGACTCGCTTCCCAAGCGATGCTACTAACCGGTTTAGGCGAAGGCCTCCCCAGCTCGTACCTCATCTGTCACCGGCCCTTGCAGCTGAACGCACTTTCAGAACACATCATCAACATCATCTCAACACTACATCATCGACTGCACGTAGAAGTGTGGTGTCGATCTTGGTCAGCACCGATCCGTGGATGATCCCTTCGAATCGGCGACGGCCAGCACGGACCACTCCCAAGGACGGCGTCGACAAGATCCCGCGACGTCTTAGTCATGGTCAGTGTACTTTCCTCCCTCGGAAGACGGGTCTCCGCACAGGATCGAGGATGGTCGAGGAGGGGGAGGATCGAGAAGGATCGGGCGGCCCACCTCACAGCGCGGAGGCGAAGGCGCGCGGCACCGCAGCTGAGCGAAGCGAGGCAGGGCACGGGGTTCGCACTCCAGGGCGCGACGGTGGACATCCGCCAGGCGGGTGGGGAGGCGTGAGAGACCCAGATCTTCGGATACCAGATTCATTCGGTTGCGATCGGAAGCGGCCGATCGGCACCCCAAAACGGTCGCCTGAGAGGCCTCTGGACGAACTGAAGAGGCTTTGAAGAGACCTCAAGGCTGTCCAATGAGTTCCCCAAGATGGAACAAGAACACACGTACACACACACTCTCACACACACACACGCGCGCGCGCAAAACCTCAAATCACTCGTTGGAAAACTGATGTTGGCATCTCGCCTTGTCGTTTCCACAAGCCTTCGAGATGGTTCCGGAAGCTTCCAGAAGGTTCCCCAGATATGCCCCCAACCACCAAGGTTGCCCCAAATGGCTCCCAGGTGGCCTCGACGATGGCCCAAAAATGGCTCCAAGACGGCCCAGCACCCCTCCAGGATGCCCACGAGACCGCCCACGCGACCCCAATTACGCTACCGAGGACCCCACAAACTTAATTTAAGTCTTATGCGTTTGCTTATCATTACCATCTATGCGCAATGCCACGCCTGCAACGCCCTGCGAGCCTGCAACAAACAAGAAGACCACCCCCAGCGCACCCCCTGTGATGTCGAGGAAATGCCACGCCAGCAACGCCCTGCGAGCCTGCAACGGATAGGGAGACCACCCCCAGCGCACCCATGTGATGTCGAGGAAATGCCACGCCAGCCACGCCCTGCGAGCCTGCATCAGATAGGAAGACCACCCCCAGAGCACCCCCTGTGGTGTCGAGAAAATGCCACGCCAGCCACGCCCTGCGCGCCTGCAACGGATAGGGAGACCACCCCCAGCACACCCCCTGTGGTGTCGAGGAAATGCCACGCCTGCCACGCGCTGCGAGCCTGCAACGGATAGGGAGACCACGCCCAGCGCACCCCCTGTGGTGTCGAGGAAGTGTCAAGCCTGCCACGCCCTGCGATCCTGCAACGGATAGGGAGACCACCCCCAGCGCACCCCCTGTGGTGTCGACGAAGTGCCAAGCCTGCCACGCCCTGCGCCACCCCCAGCGCCCCCCCTGTGGCGTCGGGGAAATGCAACGCCTGCCACGCCCTGCGAGCCTGGTTGTGCATACGTCTTGGGTGTATGATGCAGTGAACACGCCAGGCGTGTGCACTGGCGTTGAATGGTGTGTGTATGCGAGTGTGTGCATGCGAGGGGCTGTATGTACACGCGTGTCTCATGTACATGCCGTGCATGTGTTGCGCGTAAGCCCCTAAAAACCATCCCGAGACCATTGATGGGCCGGCACGAGGATCCCACGAGGCCCAAAGAGAGCACAAAGAAAGTCCAGATAGAGCCCCAGAGAGAGCCCCAGAGAGCTCCAGCAAAGAGCCTGCACGGCCCCACGAGGGCCACAAGACAAGTCCAACTAGTTGGTGACACAAGTGTCCAGGCCATGACCCCAATACTCACTGCTACAGCTGCTTGTTAGCTTTGTCCCTGAGTGCCCGCCGTGTCTCCCGCTGTGCGGGCTCAAGTATTGCAGCCTCCTAGTTTTGACACTCCAGCAATGGATCAACAAGGTTGACAAATCGAGGCTCATCCTCTCAACGCCCCTCACCCTCCAATACTCCTATCAGGGCGGTTCGACTCCACATCACCATGCGGCGCCTTCGAGCCCTCAAGGAGGTCAAATACACCACAACATACATGAGCTGTGTTCTCAGGCCGTCCCAAGAGAAGGCCCAACGCTGGGGAAACGGTCGCATGAACTCCCAAACACCCTGGCCGCTCTTCCACTCCACCTTGCCTCCCTGCCCTTTTGAGCACCACATCGCTCTTCGCCGTCATCCTGCGCTTTACCCTGCTCGGGCAAACATGGCTAACATTTACATCTGCCCAATTTGCCTCTCTGGGCTCGGCGGAATGGCGCAAGCACCTTGAATCAGACGGCACCATCCGCACCCGAGTTCATGAAACCCCGCTCGAGCTCATCAGGCTCAGCCGACTACCCCATGAGTGCAGGATTCAATCCCACACTGGAGAGGCCTGTGCATCCTGCTCGATCGCACCGCCGCCGCATCCCTCGCCCGCGTGGTGTAACGTCGTGGCCATGCTCACCCAAACCAGCCTGGTGCCGCTTCCAGAGTCGAGCGCAGCTTAAGCTGCCATCTCATCCTCGCTGGAACTATGGCGCTCCCGATCGAAGACTGTGCGCATGCTGCACAGCATGCGAGACGTGCTATCCTCCACGCGTGGCGCGACGGCGTGCTCGGCAAAATCCTGCCCACTGCAATGATCGTTGTTCCGGTTGGAATTCGCCGACTTAGCATCTGCGGCGCCTCCACTGCACTCGTCGTCCCCCTCGTCGGACTTCGCCTCTGTGGTATCAGCGAAAGTCAAGGAATCGCTGGATGCACTGCCGGAAGCTTCTGTATCCCGCTCTGGCACGAGGTCGCGGACAACGCCATGAAAGCACTTCCAGGCACCGCCCGACTCCAGATGACAGTTACCTGCCGCTGCCTCGCTCTCGTCGTCGCTGGAATCATCGCGCGCATTGTCGAAGATGGCGCTCACCCGTTTGCACATCAAGGAGAAGTTATCGTCAGGCCCCTCTGCCGTGTCTTCCTGCGGCATGTGCAACACAATACACTGAAAAACATATCTTGTCTGTGCTTGCCAGCTCTGTCATGCGCTTCCCCATGACAACGACTCCTGCTGTGCGCCTGCTAACACCCAGCATTCTTGGAGAGACACACGAAGCAATGCTGACCGCCACGTGCATTCGCACTTCTGCGGGATTCGATGGATGTAGCTCGTTGCATTGAGTTCGTGCGGGTGCTGGATCTTGGAATTCCCGTCTTCCAAAACTCAGGGCCCCATCCCACAAAGAACGAACACCCGTCAGAACGCAAGCCCTTTGCTTCAAAACCCCCTGTGGCAGGGGCAACCCCAGATGCAGTCAAGCAGCCTCCTGACCCTCTGGGGAGGAGGAGGAGAAGGAGGCGGAAGGGGAGGAGGAGGAGGAAGAGGAGGAGGAGGCGGAGGAGGAGGCGGAGGAGGAGGAGAAGGAGGAGTGGGAGGAGGAGACGGAGGAGGTGGAGGAGGGGAGGAGGATGGGGATAGGAGAAGGAGGAGGAGGAAGGAGGGGGAGGGGGAAGAGGAGGAGGAGGCAGACGGGGAGGATGGGGAGGGGGAGACGCGGGGAGGGGGAGGAGTGGGTGAGGGGCAGGGGGGCGGGGAAGAAGGGGGGAGGAGGAGCAACAATTGATGAGAAACCTGTTTTACGAAGGCTGGTCTCAATTAAGATGTAGAAATCTTTACGCATCACACACGCATCACGTCAATCCTATCACTCCCCTGGGCGCCCCCCCCCATCCTCGCGCCCAGATAAGCATCATCATCATCATCCTCATCCTCCTCCTCACCATCATTATCATCATCATCATCATCATCATCACCATCATCATCATCATCATCAGCATCATCATCATCACCACCATCATCAATCATCCATCATCAATCATCGATAATCATCATCACCATCATCATGACCATCATCAATCATCATCAATCATCAGCGGCATCCGCATTTGCATCCGCATCCCCCTCGGAGCTCGTCTCCCTCCTCCTCCAAGTCCACCTCCTGCCCGCCCCTGAGCGAAGGCATGGACTATGGACTCGCATTGCTTGTTGAGTCTCCCCTCCAGGCCGTAGATCTCTGGAGCCCTCTCCTCCGAGGTCGCAGTTCTTAGTGACGTGGGCCTCCGCTACCTCGACCCCTTCCCCATCCCGAGGATGGTTGTCACCCAACAGCCTGGGGCGGGGAAGCGGCCCCAGAAAAGCCGACAGCATGGACTCACAATCTTCTGTGTGGCGCCCAGATTCAAGGAGCCCCCGAGCCTCCTTCACCTCCGAACTCGTCCTGCACCGACGCCCCGTTCGTTGAAGCGGATCCACTTGGAATCGACTGTAGGTGTCCCTGCCTACAGCCGCTGCCCAACTGGGAGGAACGCTGCCTAGTGACGATGTTGCTTCTCTGCGGGGCGATTGAGCCCCGGCCACGAGGAGGATCCCCGATAGGCGGCCAGGCAGTCTGAACTGGCTGGGAGAGGTGAAGCCAAATCTGGTCAAAACCGGTCCCTGGACTCCTCCCGGGGTCCATCTGGTGCAGTTTTTCCCCCCTCGTGGCTCCCCTCTTCCTCCTCCTCCTCCTCCTCCTCCTCCTCCTCCTCCCCCCTCCTCCTCCTCTACACTCCTCCTCCTCCTCCTCCTCCTCTCCTCCTCCTCCCTCCTCCTCCTCCTCCTCCTGCCTCCTCCTCCTCGTCCTCCTCCTCCTCCTCGTCCTCCTCCTCCTCCTCCTCCTCCTCGTCATCCTCCTCCTCCTCCTCCTCCTCCTCCTCCTCCTCCTCCTCCTCCTCCCAAGAACTAACGGCCCCCGGCACTGGGTCCCGGCAACGGGCCCCCGGGGCCCGAGATCGAGGAACCGCGCACCGGTCAAAAAAAAAATCAGGTCGTCGGGGATCTGGGCTTGTCGTTCCCCCCTGGACCTCTCCTGGGCAGCGCTCTGACCAGAAGTTCGAGGCAGATCCAGCGGCCGCCACGAGGGCGCCTCAGGCCGACGGAAAGCTTCCAAAACGCGACTCTCGAGCATAGATCCTCGAACGTCTCTTCCCGGACAACGACGACGAAGAGGACGAACACGACGACGACGACGACGACGAAGAGGACGAACACGACGACGACGACGAAGAGGACGAACACGGCGACGACGACGACGACGACGACAGCGACGACGACGACGACGACGGCGACGACGACGACGACGACGACGACGACGACGACGACGACGGCGACGACGGCGACGACGACGGGGCCGCGGTCCCGCAGGCAGAAAGACGGCCGCGGCCGCCGCATGGCGGCCCTGCGCACCGTGTCCCGCCTCGCCAGGCGCCTCCGCCGCCGCCGCTCTGCGGGCGGGCTCTCCTCCGCCGCCCCGCGGTGGCAGCAGGGGGCACCTGGCAGGGCGGGCCCCGAGAGCCTGGCGCTCTCTGCTCTCCCCCGGGCTGCGTCTTCCCACAGTCGACCCGTGCAGTCGGCCCTGCTTAGACAGGACACGCGAGAGGACACAAGACCCCTCCGAGGGCCACATCGCCATAGGAGTGTAAGAAGGCACGTGTCGCGGGGCACAGGACACAAGGGTACCCTTGAGCTTGCAGGGTCGACCTACTAATCCGGGCCGACTGTATAGTAATGATGCGCGATAAGGATGCAAGGGCCTTGGAAGGCCACGTAGAAGCTTTTCGAGCGGGGCGCCAACGAAAGAGGCCAAGGATGGAGGGCCTCGGAAGGCCAACGAAAGGGGCCAAGGATGGACCGAGGAGGCAAGGATGCAAGGGTACCCCGTGGTCCTCGCAGATCGATCCGGCTCGAAAAGTGGCGGAGAGACATGGGGTCCGGGGCCGGGCCATGATTGCATTCGATGCTGCACTTGTTCGCGACGTCGGATCTCAGGGGAGGGGGAGGGCGCGCCGATCGAGTAGCTCCGCCGATCAAGAGACGAGGAAGCTGCGCAGTCACACTGGGATCCGCCGCGCTCCCCGAGCGAAGGAAGGGGAAGCGATGCCATCGGCCACAGGCACCCCAACGCAGAGAGGAGGAGGACGAGGAGGAGGGGGAGGAGGAGGACCAGGCCAACCCAAGGCGCATCAACGATGTTGCAATAAACCTTCCCTGGCCCTCCAAAATCTCTCTTCACACGCTCCTATAAGGATCTATTTTCACTGCGGCTGCGAAAAAAGCTACGTTTGGAGACAACTGTCTGAAAATCTTCAACCGTGCCAAAGCACCATTCCTGAGATTTCGACGTCGCGAATCAACGCCACTGTCGCAACATGACGATCCTAAATTGTACAACGCAAATGACTGCCGCGCCCTGGCAATTTTAAATCGTTCCGGAACACCGTTTCTGGGAGGCCAACACAAGTAATACTTGAAACTGTTATTACCTTTGATACGAATGCGCACGGCGCTAAGGCAAGGATCGCACTTTGAAAACGACCCGGCCTATATCCGTGAAGCTCTTGCAAAACAAATCAGACGAATGTGCGGGGCGCTGAAGCGAGAACTACACATTGAAAACGACCCGCCCTCCATCCGTGAGCTGCAAAACGTTTCTAATTCCACGATCACAAAAGATGAGGAGGTCTCAAGCAAAACGCCCGGCCCGCCCTACCGCCTCGTCTCGTGGTGCCAAAGGAAGGAGAGATTCATGAGAAAATGGATGGGAGAGCAGGACGATAATGATCAGCAGGAGAAGGAGCAGGAGAAGGAACAGAAGGAGCCGCAGCAGGACGGCCGCCCAAGAGCAGGGGACGAGGCGTAAGGAACCCTCAAGCCACACAGCTGACCGAACAAACCAACAAGGCTCGGACAAGCGCGCACAACCTGCTGTATGCGTGCGCGCGCGTGCACAGAAGCACCGCGAATGGGCGCTCGCATGCCGAGTGGTGAGGAGGTGGAGAAGGAGGAGGAGGAGGAGGAGGAGGAGGAGGAGGAGGAGGGGAAGGAAAGATGGGAGGAGAGGAGGAGGAGTAGAAGAGGAGGAGGAGGCGGAGGAGGACGAGGAGGGTAGAATAGAAGGATGACGAGGCGGAGGAGACGAGGAGAAGTCTACGTCAGAGAGGAGAGGCGGAGGAGGGAAGGGGAGGAGTGAGGAGGAGGAGGAGGAGGAGGAGGAGAGGAGGGGAGGAGGAAGAGGAAAAAGAGGAGAAGGAGGAGGAGGAGGAGGAGGAGAAGGAGGAGGAGGAGGAGGGAGGAGGTCTCCGGATTCGATGGCGAGGTTGGCGGGTTCTGGTCGTGTGGGGTTTTGTCGAAGGCCCCCAGGAGGCCTCTCGTTGCCGCGGCTGGGTCCGCCTCGGAAAACCTTGGCGGGCCTGGGGCATGGGGGGACCCTGAGACCTGGGCCGCCGCCGACGACGACGACGACGACGCGCCGCCAGAAGCCGAAGCCGGCCGGCGGACGCCGGCCGCCCCAGGGCAGGTCTGGGGCTGGGGGACGCCGACCGCCGAAAAATCGCGGCGGCTGGTGTGCTGTCTACTCTGGCCTCCGCGCAGGCCGTCCCTGGGACCCGGGGCGGTCAAAAAACGGCCCGGGAACGGAAACGAAGTCTTCGGGGGGGGGGCGGTGATCCCCGGGGCCCAGGTTACAGCAAAAAATGTGACGTCGGCGGATAGGAGGATGAGGATGACCCGCCCATGGGGACGATGGTCCCCAGGAGACCTGTGAGCCAGGGAATTATAAACTGCCCACGGTTCCGCCATGGGCAGGGGGGTATCGGTACAGTCATCGTGATACAACACGGAGCGCTGGTGCGTCTTCTCTGGCCGCAGCGGGGCTCGGCCACGAAGAGGTTCCCCGACCTAAGCCGAGGGAGAGGCTGGGGAACCAGAGCCCCTGCTGAACCCTGAGCGGTTCTAGTCTCAGTGTCTTGACCGCAATCCCGCGGCCAGGGCTCCTCAGAGCTGGCTGGCCTGTGCTGCCCTGTCCACGCAGACAAGGCAGGCAACAGAAACAGCCGGGGTGGGAAGTCCCCGAGTGCGGAAGCGGTCTCTCGGTCTCGGATGGGGGGAGACGGGGGAAGCGGCACAAGAACGAGAGCATGCAGCCAGGAAGACGCGGATAGAGACCTCCCAAAGGGGGCCCGAATGAATGGGGTCGGAACATCCATCGGCGTGGAGAAAATCGGGCTCCACGTCGAGCCTCATCGCCGATGCATCGGCGATGCGGCGCGAACTTCCGCCCTTATCTGCTCGGATCCCAGTCCGGGAGGCCTGGCGAGGACGCGCCAGCACAAGAAAGGGGGGCACGGGTCGTGGCCCATTAGCGGGAGCGGAGCTTGAGCGGGTACACCCCGGCTGAGAGCTAAGAAAGCTCGAGGCTAAGAGAAGGGACTTCATTTGAAGCGTTTTCTTAAACAGTTGTCCAGGTCCAGATGAACGACCACTCTACGCAAAAAGAAGCCACAAGAAAACGCCCAAGGTCCAGCCCAGAATCCTGGTTCTCTCAAGCGGAACCTCCATGAAAGTTGATGCCTGTTTGTTCTTAAGTGTTGTGCTGGGTGCAACCGAAGGGGCTCTTTAGTTTGGCCCCCCCTTTTTCACTCGGCGGTGAACAGGAGTGGTCAAAAAATCTCCTCCTGAGGTGTGATGTTCTGAAAGAGCGCTCCAGAGGCAGAAGGACTCGTAGTCGTCGTGGTCGAAGTCGCAATCGTGATCGTAAATGTCGTCATCGTTGATTCGCGGTTGGTGCCGCGGAAAAAAAACGAGTTACCCCCTATTGGTGGGACCGCAGTCCGTGAACAAGGCCGCCGAAAAAATAATCGGTTATCCCGTATTGGGGGAGTATCACTGCCTCTCTCGGATAGAAGAGCCCAATTTTTCCGACGTCCTGGCTGTTCGCAACCCGCGGGGAAGGAGGAGGAGGAGGAGGAGGAGGAGGAGGAGGAGACGGAGGAGGAGACGGAGGAGGAGAAGGAGGAAGGGGAATGAGGAGAGAAGGGAAGGAGGAGGAGGAGGGACGAGCTTCTATTCCCCGCCGAGGGCTCGGGTGGGGGCGTCCTCAACACTGAAGGCCCTTCGCGGTTAGAAGAGCCCAAGAGCTCCGACGTCCAGCCTGTTCTCTAGGAACAAGGAAAGGCGACACCAACACCAACATGGCGAGGAGATGCGCGGAGGTAAGGGGAGCCTACCTGGTGGTGTGGTCCCCCCCTCTCGCTCGAGACATCCCCAGTCTCTCGATCGGGGAGGCACTGTGGACCTCCTCGCTGGAGGTGGGCCCCCTGGTGGTGTTGGTATCGCTTCTCCTCCCTCCGAGTTCTCCATCCGTGGGGCTCTGGGCCTCCGTGGGGCTCATGGCCCCCTCCGCGGCGATGAGACCGCGCCCCGGCCCGTGCTCGTTCTCTCCCCCTCTCTCTGTGCGCGCCCAGGGGCAGTCCTTGCCATATGCCATCTCGGGCGCCCACCCACGGGCGAACAAAAGAACCCCGCAGGGTCTTGGACAAACCCCCGGGCAAGCGGGCTTCTTGACGGATTGGGGCCCCCACAAGAGTTGGAACCCCCCCCGCGGCGGCCACCGCACAGGCCTCCGCTGGAGTCGCCGCCGCCCCAGGGAGGGGGAGGAGGAGGGAGGGGAAGGAGGAGGAGGAGGAGGAGGGACGAGTTTCTCTTCCCCGCCGAGAGCTCAGGGGGGGGGGGCCACTCATTCTTAAAAACCCATCCCGCTCCAATACGGGTGGGGGTGGGGGGGGGGGGGGGAGGCGGGGGGGGGGAGGAGTGAAACCTTTCGTTCTCAGCTTGGGCCTGCGGTGGCAGTCTTCGGGGCCGCGCGGGGCTCCTCCGGGGCCACCCGCCACGTCCCTGTTGCCCCCGCTCTGCCGGTGCGCCCGACCTCTTGGGCTGAGGCCCTGCACGCCTGGACCTGCCGGGCCGCGAGCCGCAGCAGGACGGGGCAGCGCCAGGGGGGGGGGGGGGGACTCCGGCTCAGGGGCGGACGAGACGGGCTCCGAGGCTCGAGGCTCCCGGACGTTTTCGCCCGTCCCTGGACGCTCGCCAGCCGCGGGGTGCGCTCCAGCGGCTGCGCCTCGCCGAGGGCATGCCGGGGCTGCCCACGCATCCCCCCGAGCGGCCGCCGGAGACCCGAGATAGGACCCGGAAATCGGCGGAGGGACCAGCTCGGGGGGGGGGGGGCCAACGTCGAACTGGAATCGGCGGCACGTCTGATTGACCACAAGGACCCCTAACCCTTTGGGAGGGGACCCAATAAGTTAAGAGGGCCAAAAATATCAGGCATATGGGGGTCTTTCTCTGCAGATGTGCCAGACCAAAAACCGCCGAGAATTGTCAATTATCCCTCATGCAAGGACGGGGCCCTCAGTGAGGCCGCGTCTTCACTCTGTTATTAGGGTTGGGGGTTCTTTGATCCTCGATGAACACCGCCGATAGATCGGCGATAGGCCCCAATAGCGAATCCACACGTTCCCGAGCAGGGCGGGCCATCGGGCCTCTATCGGCGATGAATGGGCGATTGGGGGTCGATGTGTCCCCCCCTGAGCCTACACCCCCGATCGCTGCCCCAGAGGCTGACCTCCAGTCCGGCCCAGGTGGTGAAACAGCTCCGGCACGCTGCAGGCGAGGTGGTCCCGAGCCCTCCGCTCGCATCTGCACTGCCGTTCGCGCGCCGCGCCGAACTCGGGAACGCGCCGCGCACGGCACGACCAGGAGTCGGGACTGGGGGCCTGCACTACGGAGAGGAACAGACAGCCTGCTGCATAGAAGGAACTCTCGGAGGACCGCGCGGACCTCCAACAGCTCACGCTTATATGCGTTCCTGCTTCTCTGATTCAGCTCAAGGATTCGCGCGAGGCCGATTCTGATTTCTTTGTCAATTTGCGCCTTCGTTGTTTGCTTCTTCTTCTTCTTGAGGGTGCGCTCTCACACGATACGCGGTAACGCCGGCGAGCGGGGACGCCCGCCCGCCTCCCCCGCCCCACTGAGACGGCCATGATCTGCGCCAGCGCCATCTAGGAAAGGCTAATGGTAGCCGAGTTCCAGACGGCATCAGCTCGGGGATGGACTGACCAGGGTCAATCCTGACCTGGGTCAAGCGGGCTTGGCAGGATCCTGCAACACTCCACCAGAATCCTGCAGGATCCTGCACCCAAACCCGGGCTGGTGCGACCCTGTCTCTGCAGGATCCCGACAGGTCTGGCGCTCTGGCTGACCGCCGCTTGCACTGATCCCCGTCTCTTTAAAGAAGCCATGGGACACACAACCAAATGCACACAAATAACAGGATTCCCTACATTTACCAGATTTTATGTTTTTGTTCTGCCTTCCCCCCCACTTCCCATGTTTTCCAATACTTCCCTGGGGATCGACGATCAATTGTGTCTGTGTGCGTGTTTTTCCCTTCCTGTCTCTTGAGCCCCGACCTGCGCGCCTCGTTACGCCACCGGCCCCGTCCCCTCTCCCCCCCTCCCCCTCCACCCCCCCGCTGGTGACTGCCGCGGTCGCGCAAGGGACTGGAAAGCAGGCTCCGGGGCCGAAGCGCCGAGGGCATGCAGCCACCACGAAGAGGGAACGCCACATGCTTGGTGTGTGTGCCTGTTCTTGCTTCTGTTGCAAGCAAAGTGCTGCTTGGATCAAGAGAAAAAAAAAAAAAACACAACAAATGACAAGGAGCACCAGAGACGGAAAGACCGGACTTCTCTGGCCACGGTGAGCCTCGGAAAAGAATACGCTCCTCGACCTAGGCATACAGTCGGGCTTGATTGGAGAGGGCACGCGGTAGGACAAGAGACCCTTTCCGAGGGGCACTCTGCCACGGGAATGCAGGAGGCATGGGTCGCGGGACACCGGACACAAGGGCGCCCTTGACTTGGCAGGGTCGACCTACCAATCCGGGCCGACTGTAAGGAAGGACCGGGAGCCTCTCCTGAGCACAAACTGGTCCTCGTGTCCATGTCTTGACCGTCATGGTCGCCTGCGATGCGGGTGGAGCTCCTCGCGCCGCTCGTCGCGAGCCCCGCGAGGGGGGGCCGCTGCCTGGTCTGGCCCGTGCCCAAAACGGGTGTGGCGCTCCCGTCCTCCACCCCGAGATCTCCCGAGGGCCGTCGACGGTCCTCGGACGCAGAAGGCCATGCTACTCCGACCTTCCCGACGTCGTGCTCTGCATTTCGTGTGTGTCTGTGTGTGGCCCCGGGACCTTCGCGGATCGATCTGGCTGTAGCAAGATGGGGTCGAGGGCTCCGGTCGACTTGTTTTTTGTTTGTTCGATGGTGCAAGTTTCGCGACGTCGGATCTCAACAGAAAGACGATTTGACATTGAGCAAAGGGGTCTTCAGCGAAGCGGGTCCTGGACCCTGCACCCAGGACAAACAAACACCGGGCGACAAACGGCGAAGACGCAGGACTCCCCTGCAGCGGGGAGGGGCGAGCCATAGCCTTGCAGAATGACGGCACGACGCTCCGGACGGACACCCTACCCGCGAAGATCACGAGGCCGCTGGTGGGTCCGATCTCCTTTCGGCGGGGCGCACACAAGAGGGGCGGGGCGAGCGGGGTGGCTTTCTACGAGTGGGCAGGGGGGGGGGGGCGCTTCTTCGAAGGGGCAGGGCCCCTCCAAAGAGGCCTTGAAGAAGGCCTCTTTAGAAGGCAAGGGGGTGCTGCTGAGAGGCGGGGGGACACCACCCCCCGTTCAGGACGACGACGCCCTCATGATACCACTGGCTCAGGACACGTTCCAAGTGCTCCAAGGAGGGGAACCCGTGTGGAAAGCAAGGTAGTATTGGAAGACATGCTGAACACCTGGGAAACTTGAAACGTATCATGCCCATGGCCTCTTGCTCATCGAACGCTCGCCCCCACGCCCCGCCCGCTCACTGCGCCAGGACCTCTCGCTCCACCGACGCTCGCCCCCACGCCCGGCCCCCTTGCGGCGCGCCGCCCACGCTCGCCGCCCAGAGGCTCGATCCGCCAGGCTTCCGGCAGGATCCTCGCCCCCCGGCCCAGGTGCGGCACCTCTGCCGGCAGGGCAAAGCTGCAGCAGACCAAGAGGCCTCGAGCAGCGCTCCACCCCGCTCAGTCGTGCTGGACGTCCGAGGGGCAAACGTGCGCCAGGACTTCGTGCACCTCCGGGTGCTCCAGCTGAATCGCCCTGCGCACAATCTTTGTTCGCTTGTGCGCGTCTCCGACTGAGAGAAACGGGTCGACGATCACGTTCAAGTCCACGAGGCAATAGGCACCGAAGTGCCGGACCCGCACCTTGGACAATCCAGTGATGATCCCTCCGACCATAAGCTTGTCACCGACCTCTCTGATGCCGTGAAGAAGCCGCGTGTCCGTCTGCTGGTCCGTCAATCCCTTCACTGCGCCCCATCCGATCTCAACCGCCTGCTTTGCCGTGTAGCCGGCCACCATCACCCCACCGACGGCGTCCATGTACGGCAGCCCGACCATGACGCCTCCGATGCCGCCCATGACAACTAACGAGGAGAGAGCATCGCTTCGATGGTGCCAGGCGTTGGCGATGACAACAGATGATCGGGCCTCTTTCCCCACTCGCAGGGTTATGCGGAAGAGAATTTCCTTCACGGCAACGCACACGACAGCAACTCCCAGCGCCATCGGAGCCATCTGCAGCCCACACGGGTTTCCCCGAACAACCTCTAGCAGAGACTCGAGCGACTGGTGAAGTATCTCACCTGCGGTGACCAGGAGAATCCCAGCGACCCCCAGCGTCCCGACAGCGTCGTACTTCCCGTATCCATACGGATACTTCTCGTCAGCAGGCGCGGCGACCACCCGCAGAGTGAGAAGCGACACGGCGTCTCCGGCGAGGTCCGTCATGTTGTGCACCGCGTCCGCCATCAGGCCCGTGCTTCCAGAGGCGTACCCCGCAGCACCCTTGAGCCCTGTCAGACAAACGTTTGCTCCGACCCCCAGCCAAGTCACTCGTGTGGCCTTCCTGCGGAGGCCATCATCTTCTATCTCTGCTTCTATGTCTGCAGTCAGGCCCTGACCGTGGCCACCGTCTCCGTGCCCCTGCCGCGTGGCCGGAGAGCAGAACCAACTGCGCCTCCAGCAGGGTCGCCCTGGTGAGAATGCAGGGTACGACCTGACCGCTGACCTCCTCAGGGGCCCATTCCAGCAAGCAGGCACTGTCATGCTGCAGCTACCACCGCGCACAAGTCAGAAAACGGCCCGACGGTCCGAGGCCAGGTGAACACTCGAGCCACAATGGCTACGGACACGACGAGGCGCGCGAGGGCGCAGGCGAGCGAGGGGTGCCGACGGAGGATGGAGAAGTTGGGAGGAACGACCCGCGCTGCGCACGCCTGCCGGCGCAGTGCAGAATGGGTGCTCGGCCACAGCCGCTTCGGGCAGATCTCGGATGAGGAAGACGACGGGGTGCTGCCCGAAGTGCCCCTGGTCCAGGGTGCCCCCATCAGTTCCAGGGAGGCCCCCGCGGCCTCCAGAGCACCCCTCGCGAGGCCCAGGGGGCCCCGGGGGCTTCAGGACTGAGCGAAGAGCTGGGGGCATTGGGTTCGGTCGGGCATGTCCTTCTGCAGGCGGATGCTGTTGGGGGAAAATCAAAAGCACTCCAACAAGGCTCAAACAACACAATATTCGAAAAATCGTCCCCTGACAATTCTTGAATATTCCCACTGTAGAGGTACATGCCCGACTTGAACCTTGGGCCAGGGGCACCGTTCTAGCAACCCCCGAGGTGAAGAGGATCTGCAGTGGCGCGTTCCGCCATGGACCCCGTTCCTGCCCGTCGGCCTTCTGCGGTCGTCTGCGGCCTCGGAGGCAGTGTTTTTGGGGGGCATGCTCCGCGAAGGCTAACCGGCTGCGTGAAACAAGAGTCCCACGACCGAGGACTTCAGAGCAGGGGCATGACAAGGAGGACGAGTAGAGGACTCGATGCGCAGTCCGAGTTCGAAGCATCCTGACGGCCAGTCCGAAGAGCAAGGGAGGCGGGGGACTGTGACCGACTCCTCATAATTCGTTTGCACACCACCCCCTCCCCGCCCCAGTCAGATTCCATCGCCAGGGGCCCCTTGCAGTATACAAAGAGCACGCCCCAGGGAGGGAAGCCTGCATCCCACGACCCCGACCTTCGCCCGCCACCCAGGGCCGGTTGGGCATGGTATACACATGTTGCCGAGTGGACCGGCCCCTCCTCCATGAGGCACGAAGGCAAACCGTGGCCCCCCCCCCCACACGGAAACAAGAGCATCCCCCTGGGACCGCCTCTCCGCCCCGCGTCTTCCCGTTGACGGCCCTGGGGCCCGACGAGGGCCCTGGAAGCCCAGCGAGGGAGGCGGGAGACTGCGACGCACCCCTCCTCCATGATCGGCGGCGAGCCCGGGGGGAAGCGAGGGGGAGAGGGCCTTAATTCTCGGCTTCTCAGAAGGCTCGGAAGCCCCCCCCGAGGCCTCCCGAGAAAAGTTCCCTCCGCCTTCCCCGAAGCCAGAGAAAACCTTCTCTTCTGAGAGGCCCCGCCGCCTTCTGAGAGGGCCTGCTCGCTCGCACGTCCCTCCCCCCACCTCGCCCGCCGCCGACATTGAAGGGAAACTGGGACACACAAATAAATACACACAAATAAAAAGATGCCCCATATTTTCCTATATTCTCTGGGTTTTTGTCTTCCCCACCACTTCCCATACTTTCCGATATTTTCCTGGGGATCGACAATTCATTGTGTCTGTGTGTTTTTTCCCCTCCTGAGACATGAGGCACGAGGGGCCGCCACCCTGGAACCAACCCTCCCCCCCCCCCCCCCCCCCCCGAGAGTCGTCCCGTTCGGCAGGCCCCAGAGGGGCCCGACGAGAGGGGGCCCCACGGGAGCCCCCCGAGAGCGGCCCCCCGAGAGCCTCCGGGGCCCGCTTTTCCCTCGGACCCCCCCCCCCCCTCTCTCTGGTTGGCCACAAGGGGGTCCAGCTGAAAAAGGGGGTGGTGCAACAGGCTTGGGGGCAACTGTATGGCAAAATCAGTGCGCCAGAGAATCGCATTGCATTGCATCCAGTACGGAACGCCCAAGATCTAGTGCAACCCCACACATCGATTGCATCAAATCTATTGCACCACCCTCTTTCGGCTGGACCCCCTTCTTGGGTCAACCAAAGATTCCCAGACATCTAGCGATGCAGCGTTGCTGTGTTCAACGCGCGGCTGATCTGGAACGTCACACATTGGTTACGACTGCCGGATGCCATCACAGACGTTCCACATCAGCATGCAGTGGGGGAGGGGGCCTCCTGGACCCGTTTCCCTCAGGACGCCATCCCGGACATCCAACAGTATAGTTGCTTCCGTTCGCGGCCCGAGGAGCCCCGACCCCTTCTCTCGGGGGTATTCCTATTTGTCCTGGATCCATGTATGAGGGTCCCGGGGCCCGATAGCAGACCTCAGAGGTCAAAATGAAGGGAAACCGCCGCGATTGACAAAACAAGCAATATCGTCGGACATCTGGTTTTCCCTCATGGCGAGGCTCGGGCGTTGCTAGAAGCGCCCCTGGCCCAAGGTGCCCCCAGGATTTTCAAGGAGGCCCCTACGGCCTCCAGAGAACCCCTCACGAGGCCCAGACGGCCCCCAAATAAAGCGAGAAGCTGGGGCACCTTGGGCCAGGGGCACATGTAGCAACCCCCGAGAGACGAGGAGGACGAGGGTGTCTTTTGACGGCCGTGCGCGACCAGCGCCGCCTGCTTGAGCGCAAGGAGCTCTTCTAAAAAATGCGCGCCGCGGCGGGGGCAGGGCGCCCGCGGCGGATCTCCTCCTCCTCCTCCTCCTCCTCCTCCTCCTCCGCCTCCTCACACTCTCCTTTCATGCCTGGCTCAATCGGAGCGCCTGGCCAGCCGAGCCCCGCGGCGCGGCCTTCATAGTTCACGAGCAATGCCCGCGGACCCTCGCTTCCTCGGGGCCGGGGGCCTGTCGGCTGGCGCCCGACGCCGTAGCGGAGGGCGCCCCACCTTGGGATCCCCAGAGAGGCGTTGCCCGGCGGCCCCCCCCACTACGCGCGACCTTACGCGGGCAGGTTACGCACCAACGTCGGTGACAACGACCCCGTGTTTCTGCGTCGCTCACGTGCTGGGAAGGCCAGCGCCGAGATCTCTGTCGGTGCCAAAAGCAATCTGACATGCTGCGAGCGGCGTTTCGGGGGACCACGCCGATCCCGGCCAGCTCGTGGGCCCAGAGGGGGGTAAAAGCCTGGTGTTTCCATCAGTCGCCTCTGTGAGCGGCGTCGACGACATCGAGAATCCATGCTCGCGCGCAGGCTTCTAGAATCACCTCCTCCATCTCCTCCCCCCTGCCTTGAATCAGGCGGACAGCGCCGCCCTCGCCTTCATCCTCAGCTTCGCCAGCTTGTTCTCCATAAAATGGGGGTTGTTCTGGGTGGACATCTCGGCCAGCTTCTGCTTAACCGTGACGGTGCTGCCCGCCGGCTTGGCCTTCTCCCAGGCCTCCTCCAGGCCCTTCTCGAAGTCATCCTTGTTCAACAGACCCCTGAAAGGATCGCTGCGGTTCTTCCAGGCGGGGACCATGTCGTACTGGGCCTGCTTCTCGATGTTCTTCGGCGCGTTCGGGTTGAGCTGCCAGGCGAAGTCGTCGGAGAAGGTGTAGAGCAGGAAGGCCGCGAACGCGATGCCAGGGACGATCAGGGTGGTCAGCGGCACCAAGACGGAATGCCACTTCCTCTCGGGGTGGGGGGGGGGCAAAGGGATACTGATATACCGCTGCGCCACGAACCTCTCCTGGGGCGCGCTCGGGCCAGGCGCTCGGCGCGAGAGGGAGGGGTAGACCTGAGATCCGACGCTGCGACGCACGTGCAACATCGCGAACAAAAACCGAGACCAAAGCCCCGGAACCCATCTCTCCTACATGTTTGTCGGGCCCGATGGTTCCGTGACGACCCACGGGCTCGAAACGGGGCGAAAACGCGCGGTGCGAGATAATGCGGCGCCTGGGCCTGAGGGAGCGGTATCGATACGGTGAGGGCTTTGGATTAGGAGCCATTGGACAAGGAAGGCAGAGCCTGGAAGCCGGCGGAACTCCAATCGTGTACTGGCCCTGAGCATCGCCGCCGCGCTCATCAGCTCAGGAATCCCCCGGGGTCTGAAGCTTCCTGGGCACATTCCTGAACCAACGTACCAACCGTACCTTTTCTAGACGTAAATAAGACAGCATGAACATAAACTGTTGGCGCTCCGCGCAGATTTCTTGGACCTACGCTGGACCCCCTTCCCTGGCGCGCGGAGCGCGCAAGGGGCGGCGCCGGAGGCGCCGCCGGGGGGGGGGGGCCAAGCGCGGATCCAAGAAATCCGCGCAGAGCGCCAACAGTTTATGTTTGTGTTTTTTTCTGCGATGTTCCTCCCCCTGGCCTCTGGTCGCCGTACTTGGCCTCCGCGTCCTCGGCCAGCAGCGTCAGCGCCGGCAGCGCGGCGCTCACGGCGAGCACGGGGCGGAGCTCGCCCATGGCCCGCGAGGCCTGTGGCGAAGGCACGAACGTGGTGCGGACCGCCCATGCGGCGGACGCCGCGGCCGCGACGGCCAGGAGGGCGCGGCCGGGGCGGCGCGGTGCCATGGCCGCAGGGCCGGTAGAGATCGCCGTGGCTCGGAGCGCGCCTGCAGCGAGTCTTCTCTTCAAGCCAGAGCGGCTCGAGCCAGGACGTGCCCGCGGGCGGCCCGGGGGGAGACAGGGAGGAAGCGGGCCAGGAGGGGCGGGATCGGTGCCTCCAGGCCTCGGGCAGGTCTCTCGGCGCGCTCCGGGCTCCTGGCCAGAGCCGCTACTCCCCGACCCTCTCCAGGGGGCGCGCTCGGACCGGGACGCCGAGGCGAACTCCGCCGTGGCGACGAGGGCAGGCTGGTGGTATCGGTATCCCTTCCCCCCACGGGATGGGAAGCTCCCCAGGGGGGGGGCACGGGCACGGGGGGGCCGCAGGGCACCCGAGCGTCGAGGGAGGCAGAAACGCCCGTCGAGGACGCCCCCGAGCCCGACTCTGCGGCAAGACCATGGCGAGCTGCGGGGCAGCGCCGCCAGCGCGCGCCACGGGCGCAATCGCAGCTCGAGGGAGGCCAAGTGCAGCACCATCTACCACTGGATGCCGAGGGGCATTTACGCGCGGCCCGCGACCATCGGGGCCATGCCTCTTCGAGCAGTACAACCTGACAGGGAACGGCGTGCTGGGTTCTCGACTGGCAGGGACTGCCAGTCGCCGCAAGCGGGAAGGCCGCGGCGACCTGGGACCAAGCCGCGGGTCGGGGCAGCGGAGGACACGCCCCAGCCGAATCGGGCCAAACCGAAGCAGGAAACGGCTCGCAGAGGGGGGAAGGAGGCCGCCGGCGGCGGAGCACGCCCAGACCGTGAAGATCTTGCACGGGTGTGCTGGAGCACATGCAGGCTCGCGCGGGCAGCCAGCCGCGAGCGGCAGGGCGAGCCTGCGAGCAAGGCGCTTGTCGGCTGCACGCCAGCCCTCCCCCCACTACCGGGAGGCCGCGCAGCCTCAGCGCGCCCCCCGCGACGCAGCCCCAACGCGGGCGGCGGCGGAGAAAGACGCTTGTCGGCTGCACGCCAGGGCCCCCCCCCCGCCAGCGGGAGGCCGCGCAGCGTCAGCGCGCCCCCCGCGACGCAGCCCCAACGCGGGCGGTGGCGGCGCCCGCAGGGCGCCGCCAAGAGCGGCGGGCGGCGACGCCGCGGCAGCAGCAGCTGCCGGGCGCAGCGCCCCAGCGATGGGATGCCCAGGGACGTCGACGCGCGGCCCGCGACCACGCCCGCACGAGGGACAGCGAGAGAGGTGTGAGCAGGAATCGACCGTCCCGGCATTCCTAAAGTCCTACCACGACATGTTCTTAGAACCCAAAAATGTTCCAAGAACAAAGGCAATGTTCTTATACTATAAGCACGATGTGAGAACACAAGACAGACTCCGTCAGAAATGTTCTAAGAACATTTCGTGGAAACCACAACAAGTTCTTAGAACATTGCTTGGTAGGTCGATAGGCGAGCCAGGACGCTTCGCCACTGCATGAGAGGTGGACTGGCTCAGGGGGTAAACATCGAGCTGGCATCGGCGACGCGTCGCCGATAGCTCGGCGATCGGCCCCCGATTGCAGCTCCGCACGCTCCTGGGCGGGGTGGGCTATCTGGCCCCTAGCGGCGATCAACGGGTGACTGGGGGTCGATGCATCTCCCCCTGAGCCTGTCCCCCCTTCCTTGAGCAGGGACGGACCGTCCCAGTATTCCTACAAGCGTTACCCCGAAATCTCCTCATAACCAACAGGTATTCTGAGAACAACAGCAAGTTCCATAAACCATGAACTCGATGAACTAAAACAAGACAGCCTCAGCCAGGAATGGTCCAAGACCATCTCGTGCAGACCACAAGAGGTTCTTTGGTAGGCCTATAGGCAAGCCAGGACGCTTCGCAACTGCTCGACTTACATCGTTGCCCCATGACTCCAGAAGCGCGTCCTCGCAGCCCCCGCGCGCCTCCGGCGGCACAGCCCGCACAGCACGCTGCGGCGCCCGCAGCGGCGCCGCCGAGATCTGGCGACAGCTCCGCCGCCGCGCACCGCCAGAGCTGCCCAGCGCACCGCCGCCGGCACTGAACAGCTGGACACATGCCAGGCGCCGGGCAGCTGCTCAGCTGCCCAGCGCAACGCCAGTTGCCCAGCGCACCGCCGCCCCCAGTCCGTTGCCATCGCTCGGACGCCCATTCCCCGTGCGCGTTTCGGTTTCGTGCGGTGGGACGGCGCCCGCCGCCGCCGCGCCGAAGACGTGCAGACGCGCTCCACCGCCGCCGCCTCGTGGCGGCCTGCTCCAGCCGGCTCCGCCTCGTGGCGGCCGGCCCGCCGCCGCCTCGCGGGCGTCTTGCCGACGGCTTCCGCCGGCCTCCTCTCCGAAGTTCCCAGAAGTCTCCGAAATCTCTTGCCAGCTGCCAAGAAAGTGGCCCAACCGCAACTCAGAAGAATGTGGTTACAGACGCACACATGGCATGACACGATCCCCCTGCAAGTCTCCCTGCGACTGCTCGGTAACACTGCTTCGCGGCAGGCGCCACGAGCCATGAGCGTCGTTGCAGACCAGCCCACGCGGCCCTCAGGATGCACAGCGCTCCTGCTTGCTGGGTGTACGCGATAAGCAAAAACATGTACGCCGCCCGAGCGACCCGAAACATCCCGCCAGTGGCGCCCCTACACGCGCACATCGCCCGCCGATGCCTCCGCCACTGGTTGCGGCCGCGGCGCCGCACCCCCTGCGCGGCGGGCCACCACGCGCGCGCGCGCACGCCTGTCGGGGGCGCCGCATGCACCCCGTCCCCGCGAGAGGAGGAACAAAACTCACGACACGGCCTGCTCATGAGACGTCGCGCCGCCACGCGGCCCGCGAGCGGCACGGCGGCTACGCGGCTGACCGGTGCCACGACGGGCCTCCTGCCCAGCCGGGCCCTGCGCGACTGCCTGCGATCGGCAGCAGTCGGGCGTCGGCGGGACTGGGCTTCGTGGGACGCAGTTTGGTGGTGTATTCAGGGGGGCGACCCCCGCTTCCTCCCCCAGCCCCCTTCATTCCAATGACGGGACCTCCCGTCACCCGCAGAAGCACCAGCTACGGCAAACTTGGCTTAATGATTGTGGTGCCTTTTGGGGGACCTCGGGGCTCACTAACCGGCTCCCCTTAACCAGGATGCTGGAAATTATATATATATATATATATATAACACCCACCGATACACGGCGAGTGAAATACAAGGAGCCTCGGCAAGAGCTTCAGCTTGAGCCGAAGCAAGAGCATCAGCTCTGCTTGGGGGGGGTCGCCGGGGTGGCTCTGCCGGGGAACGGGGGGGGCGGTCCCCCATCTGGCGTTTTCTGCATACTTTGCGCGTCCGGACCACCCCTGGGAAGAGGGGAGGCAGGGGGGTCGCATTTCTAAAATGTTTCGGGGGGTCCCAGGGACCCCCCTCAGACCTAGCCTCGACCGACTCTCGGACCCTCCCCTCGGAACCCTCCCCGGACCACCCCCGGGACCGCTCCAGGCACGCCCACGGAGGAGAAGAAAGAGGACCGGAAGAATCGAGGAGGGAGGAGGCCACAGAGCCGCGAAGATCATCGAATCAGGAGCCCCCCGGATCGGCGGCACTGACCGTAGGCCATTACAATATATAGTCTATATATATATATAGATATATATATATATTAATAGTTTGTATATATATATATATACATATACACAAACTATATATACACACCCACACACATACATACAGGCATACACATAGATGTACATATATGCATAAACTATCCGAAGCAGGGCCCGATAGTGGGGGCTCAGCGGTGCCACTGCCCTGGGCCCTCCGCCTCGCAGCCCCTAGACGGGGCACGCGTGCAATCTGGAAGGCCGCGCGGCGGCCTGGGCGCCGCGCGGCGGCCTGGCCGCCGCGCGGGCTGCCGGCCATAGTGCTGGACGGGAGGGGGAAGAGGAGGCCGCAAGTGTTGGGAGGAAGTGGGAGGAGGGCAGGGACAGTGCGGATGCCTCGAGGCGGAGGAGGCAGGAGGAGGGCGCACGCCTCGAGGTGGAGGACCACGCTGCGGCCCCGCTGCTCAAGCCCGGCCAGCGCAGACAGGAGGAGGGGGAGGCGCAAGAGGAGCACGGAGGCGAACGGAGAAGAAAGCATGCAGCATATGGAGGAGGCCGACGAGGAGGAGGCAGCAGGAGCAGGAGCAGCGAGCAGCAGCACGCGAGCGCCAGGAGGCCGCGGTGCCGCGGCGCCGCAGAAGGCAGGCCTCCGCTGGCCCCCCCGCGCGGCGGCGCCTGCCGCCGCCGAGCGCCGCACTGCCTCCGCGAAGAGCCGGGCGGGCCGCCGCCGGCGCGGGGGTCGCGCCGCCGCCCGGCGCCCGCGGCGGCGGCGCCGCGGGGTCGCCGAGCGGCGGCAGGGGGGCCTCGGCCTGAGGGGCAGGCCCAGACCTCCTCGCGTCGTGGAAAAGTCACGACGGGAGGTTTTTCGCTATTTTCGGCCCCTGGGGGTCTTCACTGGGCCCCGGGAGCCTAAAAAAACGACTCGGGGTGAAAAACCGGTCCTGGGGAATGGGTCCAGACCTCTGGGGGTCGACGTCGTGAAAAAATCACGACGTCGGAGGTTTGGGGAGCCAGGGGGGGGAGCGACTCAGGGGGGAAGCATCGACATGGAATCTGCAGTACATCGCCGATGGGTCGGCCTTTCGCTCGAGGAGGGCCAGCTATCAGGGGGAGGAGGCGTCGGCCTGGGATCGGCAAGACATCGCTGATAGATCGGCGATAGATCCTCGATAGAGACAAACCCGATGTGTCAAGGCAAGACAGCCTCCGCCCGAAATGTTCGAAGAACAGTTCGTGCAGACCACAAAGGCTGCTTAGAACATTCTGCGGTGGGCCTGTAGGCAAGACAGGACGCTTCGCCACTGCTCGAGCATCGGCGGCACCTCGCTAGGTGGGCCCCTGGAAACATCGACGTTCTTCAAAGGGGGCCGGCGTTTCTTGCTGCTAGCGGCCCTGGGGCCCAGAGGCGGCCCAGAGACGACCCCCAGCTGCCGAAGACGTCAAACAACAGG